TGGGCCCAGACCATGGCACAGCCCTTGCTGGGCCTTGCAGCAGGACTGTCAGGCTTGGGATAAGAGGCCAGGTGTCCCAAGTGCTCCAGCTCTCCCTGCTGCTGCTCCGCTGACCTGACACCAGAGGGTGAGGAGGAAAGGGGAGACTGTGGCCCTAGAGAAACAGCTGGGGGCAAAGGGGCCTTCATGGTTGTCTCCAAAATACGGGCAACCAGTGAGGCTTCCTGACACATCAGTGAGCCACCCCGGTGCTGGTAGATAACAGAAGTTGTGCTGAATGTTCACAGCCTTCTGGGATATGAATCCCAGTCTGGGCTTTAATGACCTGTCAGTACAGCTTTACCCAGATGGGTTGCCCCCAGCCATTGCAGACAGTCAAGCTCTGCACGCTGCCTGTGCTTTCGTTGCTCTTACTCTCCACAGACCTCTTCACAGCTTCTCCTAGGTTGCTGTTAAGTAAGATCCTAGTCTGCATGTCGTCCATGTAACTCATGTCTGCTTTTTCTGTGTTACCTCTTTGCAATTCACCTGGTATAACCAAAAGCCAACTGCATTTCATTGCATTGATGAAAAAATTCTTGCAATCATATGTCTTGCTCAGCATCCTCCTAGACGGAGAGCCAGAGGAATAAATTTTTTATCAAAAGGAGAGAACTTAGAACTTGTTAGAGGATGTGGAGCACCCTGACAGCCCTGCTCAAGAAAGTAAACCAGCTCAGAAGAGGAACCTTGTCAGGTAGGTGTACAGTGGCTGCTAGGTCATACAAGGGCAAACTCAGCTAGAAGACGCTGCTCTCTGTGAAAGAGCAGAGGAACTATGAAGTGCATGGGAAGGAGTACAGCAGAGAGGTGGTCGATCAGCCCGCAGACTGCTGTTTGGGCCATGGGGGTGTGTGGGGATGCACCCACCATCAAAGCCTGCCTCCAGAGAGGGGGAAGGCCAGACTAAACCCAGGCACTGCTGCAGACTCTCAGGCCCTCCTTGGCTTGCATCATTTAATATATTTCACAAAGGGCTTCTTTAGCAGCTCACAGAAGCAGATTGTTTTCTGTCTTGTGACTTGCTTCAGGCTGGTCCTACAGGAACGGCCAGGCTTTGTGCAGCTCCTGTTCTGTGCTCCTGCCACAAGAAGTGGAATCTTCACCCAGAGTCTGGCGTGCAGACTTTTGAAAAGCATTTATTAACCCATTATGTCCCACAGAGAGGCAAAGGGAGAGCTGGAGGGCACTAAAACTCAGTCCCACCCTCTCCTTCTGCTGTGGTTTGGGAACGGCAGTACAAGGATGCAACAGCTCACTGTGGAGCTGGAGATGCAGACAGGTTTTTTGGGTTATGTGAGGGAGACAAATAATGATGTCATTTTCAAATTTCACTTTCCTACCATGTAACAATTAGAGCAGCCTAACCTCTGACTTTTTCCTGCATTCTCCCTGGGAATGCAGTTTTCTGAGATTTCTAGTGCCAGGTTCTACAAGGGAGAGAGGTGGCTTTGGCTCACTGGTTTTCTTTGTGCCATCTCAAGCCCCTTTTCCACTCTGCTTGGGGTGAAACAGCATTCAGTGGCCATCTAACACACAGCCCTTGTCTGTAGCTTTGCTCACATTACCACATTCTGGGCTTTCCCATACAGATCAAAACAGCTGTTGTACCCTGGGGCAAACAAAATGCCAGTGAGCACTTTGCCTTCTTAAAAGCTTTGTTTTCTTCAGCTTAAAATGTTTGATACCTCAGCTGAAGTAATACCTGGCTTTTTTTGCAGTCAGCTGCTTGGATATTGTAGGAAGATAAGGAAGCAGATGCTGAAAAAAAAAAAAAAAAGAGGGCTCTAATTAGCTCTAAAACCAGTCACATAGAAAAGTACCTTTACATACTGAATAAGACAGAGGACAAAAAAAAGCTACAAAAGTCAGAGATACGCACAAAAACATTCTTAGGGCAGGGCAGGTGTGACACTGCGGAAGTCTGCAGGCCAGAGGTGCACCAGTCTAACAGCATTTCTCTGCAATTCACCCCATCAAGCCTACCATTCTTCAATGTCATCTTCCACTTTTTGAAGGAGAAATTGCCTGGGTTTTGTCCTTTTGGGACAATAACGGAGGGAAGTTGGAAAACAAATAACTGTTAATGCAGGCTTCCTTTTTTAGCACTTTTTAAAGACCAGTCCCAGTTCTTCCTTAAGTGTTTTGTTATTATTTAGACCAGAAGACTGGAAAAGAAGCCTCAGACCAGCTAAAATTCCTCCTCCTGCTGCTGCAAAAAAGACCTTAGAAACCATCTGTAGGCTTCTAAAGATAGGTATTTTTCTCTGGTATCAGAGCTGTCAGATCAGCCTTTTCTTTATTCCCAGGGCAAATATGACTTTGTGTGTACAACCCTGGCAGAGGAAGCTCTTAAACACCTTGTTCTGCTCTAACATGACACCAGATAACCTTTCTTTTGTCACCTCCCAGTCTCCACAACTCTCCAATATGTGGTTGGGAGTCAAGCAATCCACCTCCACTGAGTCTTTTAATACAGATGACTGATAAGTCAGGTTTCAGGGAACACTTCCCAGAAATCATATGGCTTCTGGGTGAGTCACATCAGCAATGTTACCCTTCCCTTTGCTTTTGGACTCCCATGTACACCACAGTTTAGTTTGCAGCCAGATTTCATTTGCAGAAGGCATCAATACCATGATCTTGGGTCATGAAGAACTAAACTGACAAGAGCTTGTTAATTGTTACAAACATACTCACCTGCAGGGCTTCTCTGTGGAATGCATAAGCATGCATTTGATCTGTCTATTTGAGTGGTTTTGTTCTTCCATGGCTGATTATCTTTCATTCCCCTTTGATCTGTCTATTTGAGTGGTTTTGTTCTTCTTCCATGGCTGATTATCTTTCATTCCCCATCAAAATGCTCTATCTGAAAAGCTCTGGAAGTTCACTTACCACTATAATTTAAAATAAAGTTGACAGGTTTCGTTTTGTCCTTTCCTTACCCATCTTCCCAGTTGTTTCTGACATTAAAATAAAACCTAGGTGGCAGCAGAGGGATATTCTAACTTGACTCCTCCAACCAAAACACACAGTTTTACAACAGTTCTAGGAATTACAGGGCCAATAGCTGCAACGTCCTTAGGAAAAAAAAAAAAAGAAAGAGTATTTTGATACCATTAATATATTTAACAACAGTTTTAAACTTTATGTCAGCTGGAGCTAATTTTATTTATTTATCTATTTATTTATTTTAAAGTCCTATTTATTCTCAGGGATGATGATGCTCTTCATATAAAACATTAGCCTAAATGGAGGTGCAACGTTTGTCAGCAGAGGGTTGACGAGGGGAAGGCCCCAAGGCTGCAATTATTGAAACACACACATCTGAGTGGGAGTGGAGTGGGTATTCTTTACTCAGAACATGTCGAGTGAGAGAGGGGGCAGCAGAAATGAAATGAGATACAAAGCAGGAGTTCAACAGAGAGAGAAGGACGCCTCTTCAGCTTCAGATTCAAGTGTTAACTCAGTCTTTGTATAAAGGGTAATGATTATCAATTCTTAGGTCTCTTCTTTCTTTCCTGGAGTAGAACACTTGCTCCTTTTTTTTTTTTTCCTCCATGTTGCAAAAGTAAAAATGTCAATGTCTTGGAAGTAAAATTTGAAGATTATTCAACAAAGATTAAGGTAACAGCAAAGACTTGAGTAGTTCATAATAAAAAATATTTAATTTTCAGATGTTCAATAGATGTGTTAAATTCTTGGTTGCAGCAAAAAGATTGTAACATACAGCATCACAGTGACATATAATCAAGCCGTAACAGTGCAGTTTATTACAACTGTGTAAAATAAACTGTGTAAACAAAACCAAGTATTTCTGTAATGGCACTCTTCGTGAACTGAATTCTGGCACACAGAATCTCAGCAGAAGTCAAAAGAAACATTTACAAAGAAAAGAAAACCCCACGTTGAAGCACACAGTATATGAACCTGGCCAAAATGGACCAATCTGCATTTCAGAGGAGAAAAAAATGTTCTCAGAATTTTTGCTTGGCTGCTTTTAAGGAAATTCAATCTGAATTTTTTCAAGACATCAATCCAGTACACAGAATATTTTTGTTATGACTTAACGATACGAACAAAGAGTAAACATCTCTTAATTATGATCAAGTAAGCACCTCTTACAGTGACATTATTAAAGGAGACAAGAGATGATTTGGAAATGTTATTGTCTGTATAGCATGACACCTGCAGGAGATATTCCCTAGGAAATAAAAATAAGTTACTGAGACATAAAATCCAATGTGCTCCATCCAGGAAACTTTTAAGTATCTAAGAGGAAAGGCAGTATCTTGCCTTCTTGTAACTGAAGTAAATTATTTGATTATAAGACAATGTACATACTGTAAACGGTATAATGAGGGTTCAACTTGAAGTACACTCATCTCAAAGAGATTTTAAATATCAGCACCTAAAAATGCAAGGCTAGGATTTACAACTTTTTAGTAGTTTTCAGGCCATGCATCAGTTACAGCTTGCTAGACAGATACCATTTTGCCAGTGACATTTTAGTGTTCTGTGAGATCCTCTTAACAAAAAACCTACAGGTCTGAATGCCACTACGTTTTTTCCACATGTACCTTTCATACGGGAAGTTTTGCGTCTGTTCCATCTGCAGAGAGTGAGTCCCATAGCAGCAGGAGATATAGACAGAGCAAAGAATTTACAGTTATTTAAAAACTGGGAGTATGTGATATAATTACAAGCTGGTCTCTTCAGTTTACAGAAAGCTATAAATGTGCCTGCTTAAAAAGAGACATCCAACATGTGCTTACTCACATGCTGACACAGAATTCATGCAAAGTATTAAAAAAAAAAAAAAAGAAACTCTTATGAATTTTACCCCTCAGAAATGCTGCATATACTTCCTCCTCACATAAACTGAAGCTCCCTCAGAAACAACAGGGACCAGGTGTGCAGATCACATTAAGCAACATGAATTTGCTTCCTCTATCATGAGAAGTGAACGGCAGTATCCAACAGGAAATTTCATTGAATCCTACTTCATTCTAAACACTGTAAAGTCCAAATCCAGGTTCACTTGCCATTAAGTAATAAGACTACCTTAAAAAAAAAATAAATGTTATTTTCTTGGAGGAAGGACATTTTCTTCATAATAGCCTGGATTGACTACATTTCCAGCTGGATCATATCTAGCCACCACAAATGTGGAGCCATCACTAGCAGATGCTTTTCCGACTCCCATCTTTTTTGTGTTCTTCCAAACCATTGCTGTGAAGTGACCTGAGGAGAGTGAGACAAGCACATGCATTAATTTTAGATACTAAACCTACAGCATTCCCTTTAACCTGTGAGGGGGGGAAAGAAAGAACAATATAAACCAGTTTATTTCTCCAACAGAAGAACAAGGACATAAAAAGACATTTAGCATCTCGTACTGAAAAAGCCTGATCTGGTTCCACACTACTGTTCCCAATTCCATGTCCTATATCCAAGAATACCTAGAACGAGAACCATGAAACAAGTAGTTTGATGAGTATCTGATACAGAACTTGTCAAGGAAAGCATGGTCTTTACTCCCTGCAGTGTGACTAGCACTTCTCACAGTGATGAGCAATTACCTTGACCATTTTGTACTCCCCCAAGTGACTTCGACTGCAACTATTCAAAGTAACACTGGCCTTGTGGCTTCTGTACACAGACAGACCCCATGGGAGAAGGACTTCATTTTCTTCATCTGAAAGAAGCTTGGGTGTATCACCTGCTTGATCATTACTCAAGGAACAATATTCCTATGTTCATTCAATGCTGGACTGCCAATAGGCAGCCAAAGGCCTGCGGCGGATCTCCAAATTAAATGTCAAGTTATCTCTGTGATTGGAGTGATATAACTCAGTAGAAGACCAGTGTCTATGCAAACAACAGCATAGTACAGTTACTGAGACATCTTTATGATTCCAATTTAGTATTTTCTACAAATTGACTTCCCTTAAATAAAGTTGCCTTCTAAGAACTTAGGAGTCAGTGGGAAAATACAGCATTAAAAAATCCCACAATTTTTGCATATTTCCTCATTTTTCCATTTCCTTTTACCCTTTTGTGAGTTTCTAACATAAACATTTGAAAAAAAAATCTTTTTTTTTTCTAAGAAGTAAAGGTAGGTTTTTTTAAACATACAAAAATAAAAAATCCAAGCTGGCTAGCCAATTTCTTAAAATAAAGGTTGTGTTGTTGAAGAAATAGGACCCAGTCTGAACTTACCTGTCCCAGAAGAAAACCCTGGGTTTTGAAAGCTATAGTTCTTTATTTCACTGTACCATCTGTCAGCCACATCCTTTCCTGAAAGACAAAAGAAATCTGCTGTGGAGTCATGACATAAACACAGAGGTGCAGCTCACCTAAGAGCTGGCCTGCAAGACCTTCCATTAATAGTTGGCAAGAACTTCTAGGAACATGGAGAAACAGTCTTTTTACTGAAACGTTTTTGAAATGTAGGTAACATGGCAATACATGTAACTTAGCAAATACAGTTGTTGCTACTTAATTACTAATTAGTCCAATGCTTTTGGTTAAGCATCTGGTGTCATCAATGACTTGAGTTCTCTCAGTGCATCAGTTCCTCCAGCAGAGTGGCAGGACCCACCTGCCCAGCACAGCCTGGCTCAGCGCCTGGGCAGGCCACCCACAAAACAGCTGTAGAACCAGGTAGAGTTCATCCCACTCCAGGAAGAGTTCTGCAGCAAGGTGCTCGCCTGGTAGGACAGAGCTGATGAAGAGCACTATACTATCACCAACAGATCAGGAAACAGAACCACCCACCAATTCTTGCCTGCGGTTAAAACTTTACAGCGTTGAAGTCAGAAAAAACCTGGGACATGAGGTCTGTGTGGCACAGCATTTGGATTGAGTTGAGGTGGAAATCCCTTTAGTACTCAAGAGAAATAATCTGGCAATTTAACACATTGAGTTTACTTCTTTTTCTGCCCACAATCACCTCTACCTTTCAGCCTGGCAGGTAGTGAAGACACTTCTCCCTCTCCTTAGATGGGTGCTCCTGTCATTAGAACTCTATATACAGCTTTCAGCAGCTCTTCCCTCTTGGAACATGTTTGAAAAGACTTAAACGAACCCTTGCCAGATTTTCTGAGCAAAAGGGCACAAGGACCTTTTCTACAGGGAGGTCTCCCACCTGTGGTGTATGAAGCTATTCCCTTACAGCTCCAAGCAAAGTAAAGCAAAATGACACTTCTATAGTTTTCCATGCTCTCATCGACATTTAATACTTCAAATTTCTGAGTGCATTTATTTTCAGTGGTTCTTACTTAGCACTTCAGCCACTTTGGTTGTCCACTTTGAGGCATTCTAACTTGGGGTACTACAGTCAGACACCTCCAATATACATGCCATGGAGCTGCTGCTACGTGGAAGTCCCTGTGTGCAGCACATTTGTCAAAGGCTTTCACAGCTGTATAGGGACTATGACTACGGCCAGTGATGCTGCACTACATGTCTGTGGGTCTGTAAGGCTGATGTTTGCCAAATAAATAATCCTGCCTTGTTTTCTGATGAAAGGAGGACATTCTGATAATCTGCAATGGATCCAGAGGAACAGGCAGCACAGAAGGCAGGAGCTCAGCCCAGAACTTGCAGATGCTATGTACTCAAAAGTCAAATGTTACTTCTTTTCCATTACTGGTTGTTAGGAAAATCTTGTGTCAAACACTGCAGGATAAAAAGGGGCAGGTTTTCCCCTGAACTACATCAATAATGAAATTTCTGCTTAGCACTCCAGGAAGTTGATTTCATAGCAAGCTGCCAATGCTGTCAAGCCTACCATCATGAAGAACGCTGGTCCCTGGTGAACTGTTGGCTGCAGAACAGCAGTGACTCAATGTTTTGCTATTTTGCAGCAAAAAGTCTTAAACTTGCACTGTTCAAGAAGTCAGGCACTGAGCTGTTAACTCCTTGAAACTTCAGTTGCTTTATGAGTGCAGTCTGCTAAGAGGATGGTGTTGCTAGCCTGGCAAGCTGCCTGCCAGAACTGTCACTGAAAATAAAATATGAAATGAAATGCCTTCTCTTGAGAGGTTTGTGAACTGAAAGTTTTATGAGCTTATCTATGCCACACTGGTTATCAGGAGTGGTGATCTCTTAGTAAAGTCAGTTTATATTTTCTGCCTAAAACGGTGGCAAAACCTCTCTTGCTTCTTTCCTTCCTTCCCTGCACAAACCAACAAACCCTATTGACCTGTTCTATGGCTGAAGTCTGTACTGCAAATAAAATACCTGTGCATTTGTTACTCATGCTACAGCTAAAAGGAAGACTGAAAAACGTGCAAAGAGCAATCTTTATGCAATTCAAGGGGAAAAGAAAAAGCACACAGTAAAAAAACCCCAAAACCACCATCCTGTCCCACCCTAGACCTCAAAGCTATGAAGAGCAGTTCAAGAGAAAGTCATTCCCACTCTGCTTACTGCAGGCCTAAGAAGTGTACCCAGGCTCCACATGGCAAGAACTTGAAATCTCCATAATGGAAATGTGGCAACACACATAGGAGTTTTGACAAACACATTATCTCTTCATAATTATTTATTAAAATAAATAAATAAACTAAAGAATACCATCATATGATGATTTTGTGACACTTTAATTCAAGGGAGATGGCAATGGCATCAGGTAAGACTACCTCAGTCTTGTATGTGAAAGACAATGGGCATAGATGGGTAGCACCAACTAGGTGTTAATTCCCAGCTTTTGGGAATCAATGCTTGCCATTTATTGCAGCCAGGCAGTAAAAGCCTAGACACTGATAGCTATGCTCCATTTATTCATCTGCAGGGGCAGGTCATCATTATGTGGCACTGTTGTCATCCTCCTTGAATTGAAAGGGTCATTGCATAATAGGCTGTAAGAAATGAAGGACTGACTTCTTCCTAGCGAAAGAGAAGGTGACCAAAGGACAAGGCAGCTTTCATAGAATCATAGAATAGTTTGGGTTGGAAGGGACCTTAAAGATCATCTAGTTCCAAACCCTCTGCATAGGCAGGGGCAACTCCCCCTAGACCAGGTTGCTCAGGGGCCCATCCAACATGGCCTTGAACACTTCCAGGGATGGGGTTTACCACAACTTTCCTGGGCAACCTGTTCCAGTGTCTCACCACCCACACACTAAAGAAATTTTCTCCTAATGTCTAATCTAAATCTCCCCTCTTCCAGTTTTGATCCATTACCTCTTGTCCTCTCACTGCAAGCCCTTATAAAAAGCCCCTCCCCAGCTTTCCTGTAGCCCCTTCAGATACTGGAAGGCTGCTCTAAGGTCTCTCCAGAGCCTTCTCTTCTCTAGGCTGAACAACCCCAATTCTCTCAGCCTGTCCTTGTAGGAGAGGTGCTCCAGCCCTCAGATCATCTTCGTGGCCCCCCTCTGGACTTTCTCCATGAGCTCCTTGTCCTTTTTATGTTGGGGGCTCCCAAACTGGACACAGCAGTCCAGGTGGGGTCTCATGAGAGCAGAATAGAGGGGGAGAATCACCTCCCTTGTCCTGCTGGCCACACTTCTTTTGATGCAGTCCAGGACATAGTTGGCTTTCTGGGCTGCAACCACATGTTGCCAGCTCATGTTGAGCTTCTCATCCACCATCACCCCCAAGTCCTTCTCCTCTGGGCTGTTTTTGATCCATTCTCCACCCAGCCTGTATTTGTGCTTGGAATTGCCCCAACCCAGGTGCAGGACCTTGCACTTGGCCTGGTTGAACTTCAAGTGGTTTGCACAAAGCCACTTCTCAAGTCTGTTCCTTCTGGTTCTTTGCCTCTTTGGGAGCAGTAAGCAGTGCAGTGCTGGAACACAAGCCAAGCCAGTGTTGAAAGTGACGGTTGATATACAGGAGGCTAAGGGAAATTCTGTTTTGAGCCTAGAGAAAATGACCTGAGAGAGAACAGCAGAGGGGTCGCCAGAGCACTGAGCCCACCTGCTTTAGCAGCAACTTGCACGCTCATACTTGCTGGTTCAGAGAACTGACCACAGAATTTCCATTTCAAATTATTACAGAGTAAGTGACAAACTTAAATATAATGTCTGTTTTCCCTTGCATTTAAATGTTTCATTGAAAACAGTTCCTCGTTCCCCAAAGCCCCCTCAGAGTGAGGGGTTCATTCTTGTTCAAAATGCATTTCAATCAGAAGGAAAGAAGTTTCACTCTCAGCCCTCATTTCAAATCATAGCATAAATGATTGAAGTTTACTTCTAGAAAAAGCACACAGATCTGTCCTGCAGTCAGCACTGCAGCTTCTCTTCTGTTGCTCTGCTTGCAGAACCAGTCAGTAGATTGCTACTTAAAAAAAAAAAAATATCCTTCCTCTTTATATTGCTGTAAACCACACTCACACTTTCAACACTTTCTGTATGGAAACAGTTTGACTCCACCCTTCCAATGATAGCTGACTGATGACCTACTCAGTTAGACTTAGGAGATGTTAATTTTGGAACAGGCTCTAATGAGTATCATCAGGACCATGCCTCTGGACATAGCTACATCACACAAAATGGTAAAGCAATCCTTGAATTAATACCCAAGTGTATTTCTGCCCAAAACTAGGTCCAGAACCATCACAGTGATTTTACTTTATTTGCACAAGCTATGAACTAGTAACATGGACACATTGACCATGTCTTGAGCTGCCTCATGTGGCCAGAGGATTGACCATATGAGGTCATGCCATTCATAGGACTAACAGTCCTGGTGTAAAAAGTTCTGCTGATACCAGTCTCTGAAGGAAAGAGGGGGAAAAGGGGCCACTGTGTGTAAACAGGCATCAGTACTCTTGTCTGTCCTTACCCTGCATCTCATCAGGTGTCCTGTTGTCTCATTAAATTTTTACATTTCTTGTGGAAGAGAACCTTTACCCTGTGTGGATGGGAGGGGAGGGGGGGGTGTCTTAGTGCCAACAACTGATATCGGCCAAGGGCTGCAGGGATCTGGGTGTCTGTGGTGCCAGCAACTGGAGCACTAGTGCAGGTGTGACTAGCAAAGCACAAGCTGGACTAGCTGGGAACAGGTGAGGTGGCCTGAGAGGAGGTGCTGAAGTGTATGGTCCCCACAGGGTCAAGGGGGATCCTGGCCAATGACCAGGGATCTGCCTGTGTGCAAGATGCACTGTACCAGCAACTGGAGTGGAAATGCATCCTCATAGGCTTGTATGTCCAGGTGCCAGTAGCTGGGAAGACTGGGATATAGAGAGAGCTACTAAGCAGACAGTGTCTAAGCCCAGCTGCTGCACGGATCCACACTGGAATTATCCTTCCATTACAGAAGTGTCTATATTAGATAAATTATTTTATGCTATAAAAATATACATGCTTATAAATATATGAATACATTACTGGAAACATATATTCATATGTGCATATTATTTGTATATATTGCACAAGCTGGAACACAGGAAGTTCCGTTTAAATATGAGGAAAAAACTTCTTTACTGTGAGGGTGACAGAGCACTGGAACAGGCTGCCCAGGGAGGTTGTGGAGTCCCCTTCTCTGGAGATACTCAAGACCCACCTGGATACAGTCCTGTGTAATGTGCTCTAGGGGATCCTGCATTAGCAGGGGAGTTGGACTAGATGATCTCTAGAGGTCCCTTCTGACTCCAGTGACTCTGTGACCAGGCTTCATCATGATCAGCCATGAAACAGAAAGGGGAAGAGGAGGAGGCCAGTGGTGCTGCTCCTGTGAATGCTGACTGCACCTCTCTGTGCTGCTCTGTGTGGCCACCTGCACATACACACATGTACATGCTGGATATGTGTGTTTGTGTGTGCCAGCCTGAAAATACTCTTAGCCTCACTACGGGGGGCACAAAGCTGTGGCAGCCCTACTGTATTCTGCTCCCCATAACATTTAATTTATCTGGGCCCAGCCTTACTGTTTCTCCTCATACTAAAAGAATCCTTACATCAAGTAATCCCACTGAGTAAGTTGCTAAAAACATTATAATGAAATCACACAGGACATATTTCTGTCTGAGGATGGGCAGCATCATGGCAATCTACTTAAAACCAGGTACCCCAAACCTCAGAATCATTTTTTTTCTAGCTTTTGTTATTACAGCTTTAATTCCACCAGTCTGAGGGGAAAGCAGGTAGATTTAAATTTCCCTCAGAAATAAAATATCTACCTAGATCAAAGTCATACTAATGGTTTTGGGAAGTAATCCTCTACTTCCAGCATTCCTCATGCTGGTCCTTATTTTACAGTGCTGTATAAGCCTGGTGTTAGACAGCAAGAGATGCACCAAAGAAGGCTCTCAGAGCATGGGGCAGAGGGTTCTATAGTGCTCAGCTAGGCCTGATCTGCAGGCAGACCGAGGTCCCTCCTCACATACAGTGAATTTCTCTTAGGAACTCTCTGGGTTCATGAGCTGCAGTGTTCTCACAGGCAAAATGGCACATTCTTCCCAATCACACCAGCCATCCCAACCAGAATTGAGTCTTCCAGTGCTTGCCTCCAGCCTCCCGACACATGAGGAATGAGATGAGGCTCCTGAGAAGCCTGACATGCTCCAGCTGCCAAGGCAGGCTGCGGTCCCTCCCTTTAGTGGCAGATGACAGCTCACTTATTTGAACACAGACAAAGAGAAGCCTGCCACAGAGCAGCTCCTCCTGGAGGGAGGAAACAGCTGACAACTATTTATTGGATTACAGGGATAAACGTATTTCCAGCAACAGCTTTAGGCTACGTCACTCTAAAATCCTGAACACAATTCAGGATATTCTTGTATCGAGAGAGGGGTCAAACTAAAAGTCTCTTATAGCTGAAAACCTGAATCCTCTCACAAAAAAAGAAATTCATCTTCTAGTATGATTACAAAACTTGGTAAGAGCCAAAATAAGCAACAACATCGCTTTTTAAAAGAGAATACAGAGTATGCTGAAAGATTATTGAGCTTTGCCTTATCTGGGAAAGAAACCAGAAGATGCTGCCCACCTTTGTTAAGCCCTTGAATGGATGCCTTAATACAAATTTCAGGCTCACTGAGCAGGGTACACATTGACTATCCAAGGGGAACTATATGAGAAACAAAGAGGAAGAATGAACCAGCTCCACAGAGACGAAGACTAAGCCCAAGCAAGAGAATAATTTTCTTTGAAGAGCTATTTTTCTCATTCTGGTACTCTGAATGATCCTGCTACATAGGAAATGTAGAAGTGTTTTACAGAACAAAAGGGGATGTATCTTAATTTTCTCAGTAAGTCATTCAATCCTGTGGATAAAAAACTAGTAACAAAATTGCTCCAATCTGGCAAGTTATGTATGGAAACAGTGCACTGAAGACAACAAATGGGATCCAAAAAAAGACAGGCATTTGTGTTTTGTTTCCAGCTCTCTAAATGGGAATTCTGTGACTTTAACTTGGGGGGAAGGAGCACAGGCCATTAGGAAAAACAAGAAGGAAGAAGTAAGCTCAGGCAATGAGTCATAGGCACTCTGCAAACTTTGCTGTACATCTGTGTTTTCCCATGCTGCTCTGAACCCTTGCCTCAGACTCTTGCAACGGGCAGAATGCCAAATATGTGTAGATCAAGTTGTACTTTTCCACCCTGGGTTCTTTTTCAACATGAAAAAGTACCCATTAGGGACCAGAGTTGGCACTTGCAGAGGAACTAAGGGGATTCACTGTGTCTAAAACTCACTCAAATGTCCAGGTCCTTTAAAGAGCCTGTAGAAATGAGATTCTGTCTCCCTGAAGCAGTGCTGGAAATTCTAGTGGTAGGTGGGAATAAAGCAAGCAAATGGTCACTTTTAATACATCCCACCTGCTGTCTCAGCAGGCTAAGGCATGAGCCCTGCCCACTGTAGGAGACAGGAAGGAAGAGCCTGCTG